TATCACACCTATCAGATTGGCTAACATGACAAAACAGGAAAATGATAAATGTTGGAGAAGATGTGGGAAAATTGGAACACTAATGCATTGTTGGTAGAGTTATGAACTGACCCAACCATTCTGGAAGACAATTTGGAACTATTCCCAAAGGGCTATAAAACTGCATACCCTTTGATCCAGCAATACCGCTACTAGGTTTGTATGGCAAAGAGATCATAAAAGGACCGACATGTACACAAATATTTATAGCAGCTCTTTTTGTGGTGGCCAAGAATTAGAAATTGAGGGCATGCCCATCAACTGGGGAATGGCTGAACAAGTTGTGGTATATGAATGTAATGGAATACTATTGTGCTATAAGAAATGATGAGCAGGCTGACTTCAGAAAAACCTGGAAAGACTTACATGAACTGATGCTGAGTGAGGTGAGCAGAACCAGGAGAATATTGTACACAGTAACAGCAACTTTATGCGATGACCAACTTTGATAGACTTAGCTCTTCTCAGCAATGCAATGATCTAAGACAATTCCAAGACTTCATGATAGAAAATACTATCGATATCCAGAAAAAGAACTATTGAGTCTGAATGTAAATTGAAGCATACTATCTTCTCTCTCTCTTTTTTCTTTCTCATGGTTTTTCCCTTTTGTTCTGACTCTTCTTTTACAATATGACTCGTGTGAAAATATGTTTAATATGATTGTACATGTACAGCCTATTTCAAATTGCATGCTATCTTGGGGAGGGGGTAGAAGAGGGAAGGGGGAAAATTTAGAAACCAAAAACCTATAAAATTAAATGTTGAAAACTGAAAAAGTAAAAAAGAAATAAGAGGAAAAAAAGGCACGAACTGTCCGGTTCCTCTTCATTCTTGACTCCTTCCCATTCATTCCCTTCCCCCTTGCCAGAGTCCACACTGTGCTACTGGAGTAGAGTTGGGTAACTTTCTGTCATTAGAAGGGCAGCAAAGCCTTTAGGGCTGGAAAGGACATTCAGCTGAGCCTCCCCATTTTAAAGATGAGGAAACTCAAGAGGCCCCAAGAAATTAACTAGGTGGCAGAGTAAATAGATCTTTGGACCTGCAATCAGGAAGGCCTGATCAAAAGAAAACTCTGAATACTAATTTCAAGATATCACAAATGAAAACTACGCAAATGTATTAGAATGAGAGGGAAAAGTGAAGATAGAAAGATCTCACTTCTAACTTCCTGAAGGGAACACAGATATGAAAAATCAGAGAAATGTTAGAACCCAAGTCCAGAACTCCCACATTAAATATCCATAAAACAGTAGATAAAGTACAAGGAACCGCAGTCAGGATCACACAAGATCTTGAAGATTCTACCATAAATGAGAACTCTTAGACTGCAATATTTCAAAAGGCAAAAGAGATAGACTTGCAACCAACAATAATTTACCCTCAAAAACTGATTATAATTGTACACAAGAAAAAGTGCATTTTTAATCAAAAAGAAAACTTTCAAGCATTTCTGATGAGAGGACCAGAGCTGAGTAGGATCTTTGAAATACAAACATATGAATTCAGAGAAACTTAGAAAGGTAAATTTATTTGAGCAATTGGAAGGAGCTATATGATGATGTAGTGCTAGTATTCTAAAAGGGGGAGAAATAATTGTCCTTTTAGAACCTCAGTGCCTTAGAAGAGTATTGAGGGAGGTAAGTAAGAAAAATAGAGGATCTAAAGTTAGATTGGTTTCATTCTGAATGTTCTAATAGAGGAAAGAGAAGGAAGAGTAAAAGGAATAGACTAGTATAGAAAGGAAGAAGAGAGTGGATTTTTCCCCAAAATTGAGGTGAGAATAATATAGGAATATAGAGAGAGAGGTAGGAGGCATGGGCATCAAATCCACTTTATTCTTATCTGAAACAAATAAAAGGGTTGAACACATGCATATGTATACACAAAGAATTAGGTGTTGATATATGTCAAACTCAACAAACTTTCTGATCATGAATGTGAAGGGAAAAAGAAGTGGAAAAAGAAAAGCAAAGAACTAGAATCTAAGAGAATGACCATCAATTAAGCAACAACTAAACAAATTATGCCATGTGAATAAAATGGAATATTAATTGTATTCTAAGAAATAATGAAAGAGATGATTTCAGAGGATTTGAGAATGAACTGATACAGAAGGAACTAAGTAGAATCATAACGTTATTCAAGGACAGCAACATTATAAAGAAAAACAATTTTGAAAGACTTAAGAATTCTGATGTATGCGATGATCAACCACATTCCCAAAGGACATATGGTGTAGATACTAATTACCTTCTGAGAGAGAGGTGATATTCTCGAGGTGCAGAAAGAGATATATATTTTTGGATATGGCCATTCAGTAGATTAATTTTTCTTGGCAATGCCTTTTCCAAGAATTTTTTCTTATCATTTCTGTTGGTTTTTTTTTAGAGAGGGTGGAGTTAAAAATCATGGTTAAAAAAAAAGCTGCTTTGTACCAATTTTTAATTACACAGAAATGAATGGAAGAAAGTCCAGAAGCTAGCAGAGATAAAGAGCATGCCAATTTTGGAAATTATGAGTGGAATTCAATATATACTTAAAAATAAAAGATACAAAATGTAGACTCACTGTTTCATGTACAATCTTTTTTTTTGGCATATGAAGGTAAATGAGCTGGTTTTGATATTAATTTCAAAATAAATAAATTTCTTTAAAGTCTTTAGATAAAGTGAAATAATGCTAGACTTATTATGTCCTGTGGGTCCTCTCTAAAAGAATATATATTAAAAAAAAAAAAAGGAATGAAGGAGCACTAGTGAGTGTTGAAAGGACAGTTGGTGGTGCAGTAGTTAGAACACTGGTCTTGGAATCCAAATCTGGCCTCAGGCGCTTATTAGCTGTGTGACTCTGGGCAAGTCCCTGTGGCCTAAATTCCTCATCTGTAAAATAATCTGGAGAAGGAAATGAAGATCATTGCATTATCTTTGCCATAGAATCCCCAAATGGGGTCACAGAGATTCAGATAGAACTGAACAACAACAATGAGTTTTGAACCAGGAGAAAGCCAAACCCTTGCAGTAGATATGCCTGTGGGAAAGGAGAGGCCTTGGCCTATGCCTAGGTCAACTTCTATTCACTCTCCCTCCTCCTTAGCCAGTGAAAGAACTTTGAAGGGACAGATCGATCTTGGTCTTCCCATCTTCCCATTTGTGTCCTGGAGGCCTCTATCCCTGAGTTAGTCTGCATTGGGAACCAAAGACAAATTAGACATAGATTCCTGGCTTTGCAAGAGATCCCAGCAAAGGACTACGTCATGCATAAGGGGGGTTTCTGAAGCATCTGATGGTGCTCAAGGACTTCCAGAAACCAAGGGTTACAAGTTACCCCCTTACCACACATGATTGTCACTAATATTGTACCTGTTTCCCCTAGACTCTGTATGTAATTGTGGGGCAGTGTGTCACATCCTTCTATGGCTGCGGGGAGGATGTTTTCTACCAGATGTTCTTATTGTGCCACTGTAGTAAATAACTCTTAAGTCTGGCTAACTAGAATGATTCTCAATTGATCATCTTATAGGGAAATACATGAGTGGAGACCATGGGCTGATGGTATTAGAGATTTAACCCCAAAACCTCCTTAGCAGTACCCCTAGAAGCTGGAAAGGGAAGATGCAGCCTTCCTCTGGGACCTGAGACTCATTTTTGATGGAAGAAGTTTGGATAAGTATCCTCAGAGCTTATATGGAATATTTATGTATGCCTGGAACATTCTCAACTATTGGTAAAAAAGAAAGAAAGAAAAAGAAAGAAAAAAAGAAAGAAAGAAAGAAAGAAAGAAAGAAAGAAAGAAAGAAAGAAAGAAAGAAAGAAAGAAGAAGAAAGAAAGGAAGAAAGAAAAGAAAAGAAAAGAAAAAAAGAAAAGAAAAGAAAAGAAAAGAAATAAGTAAAATAAAGTAAAAATGCAAAACTAAAAGCTGCTCCAGGGAGGGTTTGGTAGTCCTTGGAAAAGGATGATAGATTTCTGCTTTGAGCAAAACAGCTTATTTGTTCTGTGGCATTATTTACAGTGAAAACATTTTGTTAAATTTTATGAAACACAGACTTGACGGTAAACAAAGTTAAACATTTACTTACATATGCTTCCCAACCCTATCTGAATTATTTTACTCAAATAAGCCTATGTTGGCTGTATTATTCAAATCTCATCCCAGTTTGCATCTGTATCAAAGAGAATCCAGAAAAGGTTTCAGTGAGAAGCAGCATGTCACATTGAAAAGAGTGTTGGCTTTGGCATCTAATGGCTCTGCCACTTACTGTGCCCCTTGGGCAAGGCACTTGCCTTTCAGTTTCCTCCTCTGTAAAGTGAGTGGATTGGACCAGATGATCTCTGTCTCTTTCAGCCTTAAATCTATAATCTTACGGAGGGCACGCAAGGTTCCACCTTTGCTCTCTTTCTCTCTACTTTCTTATAACTCTTTCATGGGAGATAAAAACATAGTCTAAGAGTATTAACCCCAAATGTGCCCTTTGTATGGCCTCTTTTGACCCATCCTGAAAGTTAAAACCTCCATTTCTTTTTCATACCTGCAGCGTCTTGAATTCTATTCCTTTATCTCTTCCAAAGACATGTCCTATAACCTGTTCTTCTCTTGTAATTACTTCCTATTGCAGGGCAAATTAAATAATCTCTTCTAGAGCTTCTCTGTAGAACCCTGCATCTCCCTTGTCACTGCCTTCCTGCATTCCAAGATTCAGACAGACACTAAGACCAAGGTCAGTTTGGGGGAGGGGGAACAGAGCACAGATCCCTGCCAGCTCTGAAAGTCTAATCCCATGTTTGAGGGAGTCTTTGGTTTTCTAGTAAATTCTCATATTAAATTTTGAAGGAAGCTTGTTCTGAAGCTTTATCATGTATCTTTCATTTTTCTGTTTCTCTAAGCCAAGGAAAGAGTGATAGCAAAGAGAGACCACACCTTGGAGGTTGGTACTACATCACCTGTGAAAGTCTTCCTAGAAGCAAATGAAACCTCAGAAGAGAAGAACACTTTGGAGATAAGCCAGCTTTCCTCCCAGACTCAGTCACTCCCAAAGGAATTTCTAGATGAGAAGCATCCAGAAGAAGGAGGTGCTCCTGGCTCCTCTGATTCCTTCATTCAAAAGGTGAGAGGGAAGGGAAGAGGGTGATCAAAGAGGCCTTTCCCATTCACCATGCCTAGAAATGTCCTTCCGTCTTTATACTGACATTCATATTATAAGAAATTTGTGTTAACTTACATAATTTACACAAATTTCTCTCCTTTTCCTTCCCTGCCCTGTCCTTTGTCCTCTCCTCTCCTCTTCCCCAACTTCCTCCTCCCAATCTAGTAAGCATGCATATTTTAGGTTGTAGGTTCTCAGAAGTGGGAGATAAGAGTGAAATAATAACAATGTGAACTTTTGGATGCATCTGTCAATTTTGCTGAACTATTTCCCCCCATTTGTCATAAGGGATTACTGTCTAACTAGGGCAGAAGGGAGGGAGATATTGGGAAATCAAATGATGTAAAACAAAAAGGTTACCACTAAATTTATTTTCAGTTTAAAAAAAAAGGTTGTAGCCACGAAAAGGGCATGGTCACAGGGCTTGGGTTCAAATCCTGCCCCTAGCATCTGCTACCTCTGGACCTTACCTTATCTGTCCCCCAGTTTTATCATCTATAGAATGAGAGAGCCGGGCTAGATAACCTGCAAGGTGTTTTCCTGTTCTGAATTTGTGATCTTATGATCTTGTATAATACCTGTAGGTATTGCAGCAGGGTGCTTTTTGTCATGATAAACCTGCAAAGCTTCCAGTGATCACTATATACTCTTCCTTACCACCTGTATGCCCGCATACATGTCATAATGAATCTCAGTCGTGCCAAATGAACTGTAACCTGGAAGTAAAGAAGTCTGGTAAGAGGTTGTCATTGCTCCATCTGGCTGATTCCCTTTCATGATACCATAGAAAATCTGGCATACATAAGGCACACAGTATTCTAAATCTTAGAATTTTTCTAGCTGTAGTGAATGGCATATAGATCTTGGTGTCAGTTCAATGGTCAAGAGTTGGCTTCAAGAGTCAAAGCCTGGCTCAGGTACTTACTGGCCGTGAGACCTCATAATAGCCAGTATTTACATAGCAGTTTGAGGTTTGCAAAGCCCTTCATGTGTTATCTCATTTTATCTTCAGGACAACACTGTGAGGTTGGTATTCTTATTACTCCCAGTTTACAGGTGAGAAAAATGAGGCCAAGGAGATTGAGAGGTTTGTTCAGGATCATACAGTTAAGTATCTGAGGCTGAATTTGGACTCAGGTCTTTCTGCCCCCAATTCCTGTATTCTAGTCACTATGCCTCAGTTTCTTCAACTATAAAACGGGGACAATAATAGCACCTAGTCCACTGGGTTGCTGTGAGTGACAAATGAGATAACATGTAAAGTGTCTTGCAAACATTAAAGTGCTAGATAAATGCTAGCATCATCATCATCATCATCATCATCATCATCATCATCATCATTTCTCAGATGAAAGGACCAAGGTTTAGAGAGTTGAAGTCACTGCTCTAAGGCATGTAGCTGATTGGTAGCAGAACCTAGCCTAGTGCTTAGCCTCCTGATTCTTGGACCATTGTGCTCTCCACTACCAACACCCTTACCACTTTACCTAATCTCCATGTCTCATATGCTGTGCATTATCATTAGTATAGCTATCAAGGAATGTAAGATGTAAGCAGAACCCACGATGAACCACAAAGTCAAGTCAGTTTCTTTTCAGTGCTGACAGTGGGAGGAGTCAATGATAGGAGTTGTTATGGCTCTAATTTTGTAATATCTAGGTGTCTTAAAAAGAGCAGAACCTTTAGTAGCCGTGTGATTTTATTTGGTCTTTGTAAATTTCAGACATTTCTCCATGTGGAGGCCTACTTGAACTTCAACCTTTCCAAAAACAAAGGGAGAAAATTATTAACCTCTGCCCAAATCTCAAAATAGAAGGAGGCTGTGATGGATTTGAAAATCATTGGCGACTACCACGACATTGAAAAAAGTCATCGATTCTTAAGTGAGGGATGTTGGAAAATGACAAAAAGGAAGATTTTCCCCACTGCACCTCAGCAACAGGAGTCAAGAAAATCATGCCAAATGACTGGGACAGTCGTATTCTTCACTCAAACCCAACACGCAGAACAGAAGAGGCAGACTTTATCTCAGTTCCTTCACATTTGTATGAATATTTTAAATATTTCTTTGCTGAAACTTTGAACAGAATAGAAAAAGAGCACAAAGTACATATCAAAAGTACTTTGGCATATCATGCTGGCAATGTCGGTTTAAATTTTGAGACAAGTAATCCTAGGGACAGAAAAGCAGCTCAAGAAGCTTTTACCACAGCATTTCAGAGGGAAATACAGAATGTGACCTCTCAGGAAGTTCATTTCACAGATGATAAGCTGGCACTTGAAGTCCAGAGAACACTGACCAACGTGTTTAAAAACCTCCATGTGAGAGCAGAAGGAAAAGTCTTGATTCTCCAGGGAGACCCCAAGGTTATTTTAGAAGCTAAAGGTTTCATTGCAGCAAACTTCTCCCACAAACAGCCTGTGAAAATAATGGTTTCCCAAAACATGATGAAGAATGGAATTGAGGTCAATACTGCTCAGTTGGATCTTCTGCGCCAAGAAATCACGGAAATAGAGAAAAAATATGACACTGCAGCAGCAATGGCGAACAACCCCCAAACTGGGAAAACCCTCTTGTGTTTACGTCAAAAGACAGAGAGTCAGAAAAAGAGGAGAGGAAGGAAGAGGAGGAGGAGTACATCATCTGAATGGAAATTATTCATGACAAAGTAGTCCTCCCAAAGTGCAATCAAATTTTCTGTGGCCCTTGTATCAGAGAGGCCATGAAACGTAAGCCAGTGCGCCCTTTATGCCAGGCTTCTTATGGTATCGTGAAAGGGAATCAGCCAGATGGAAAAATGACTTACTCTTACTGGTCTGATTCACTTCCTGGTTATAGTTCATGTGGCACTATTGAGATTCATTATGATATGAGTGGAGGTATACAGACGGTAAGCAAGGGTTTGTGCTGATTATTAGAAGCTTTGTGCAGTCTTATCACGGCAAAAGAGAACCCAACTATGTTTATAAAGGATGAATTTGGCATGGCCTCTCTATTAGCAATTTTTGAATTATTTCATATATTGAGATGAAAAATAATAGCATTTCTATTGCCTTTTAAGGTTTGCAAGCACTTTACAAATAATATCTCATTTGATCCTCATAACAATCATGAGAAGTATGAGTTATTTTATATTTTTATATAAACCCCATTTTACAGACAAGGAAAATGAGACAAGTAAAGGTTAAGTGATTTGCCCAGAGTTACATACGCTAGTAAGGTTCTGAGGCATGATTTGAGTCCAAGTCTTCCTAACTCCAGGTTCAGCATTCTATCCAATGCATCACCTAGCTGCCAATCCAGATGCTCAGGAAGTTCACCAATGTATTTATACAGACACACACATAATTTTCAGTACCAAAAGCATGAATTAGCTCCAGATTCAGAGAAGTTGTATGACATTGTGGACAGAGAGCCAGTCTTGGAGACAAGAAGAACTGGTTTCAAGCCCCACTCTGATATATACTGGCTGTGTGACCCTGGGCAAGTCACACCACTTTTCAGTGCTCTAGGCAGCTCTTCAAGTTTATGATTTGCAGACAGTGTCCTGCCCTGCATTTTGAGAGGGCATTTCTCTGTACCTTTGAAACCTGAGACCAGTTCCTATCCCTAGATAAAGATATGGGTAGATTGGCCCAGCCATTTTTGGGGGTGCTCTAGAGTAGAAGTATGATATGGCAAGCAGAAATCAGTTCCCAGATGCAGAAGTCTGGGGTTTGAAACCTGATACCTGAAATCTCTAAGACATCTTCTGTCCACTTTTCCCTCGTGTTTTTTGAAGCTTTGCATTGGATTTCAGTATTTTGATAACTGGGGTTTTTCTTATCTTTTTAATCTATCTTTCACACTGTGTTATAAATTAATAGACAATTTTGCACAAAATATTTTTGGGATAGACCCTGCTGACGACATCAAGACTAGAAGCTGCTCCTCCCTAGTTTTCATCTCCTTACTTTCCACATTCTTGAAGGTTACTCAGGTCTCTACCTGCCTCTCCCTGAAATAGTGTTCAAGAGAGTAAGTACTCAATAAACTCCCAGTAATTCTCAGTTTCCTCTGGGATAAAATCTAAGATCTTCTGTTTGTACTTACAACCTGTCCCTTTTCTACCTTTTGAGTCATCTTTCATTTTACTCTTCCCCACAAACTCTTCAGTTCAGCAACACTCACCTCCTTGCTATTCCTAGCACGGAACACTCTATCTCTCAACTCCCCGAATTTTCACTGGCTGTCCGCAGTATCTACAATGCTCTCCCTCCTAGTCTCAGCCTCTGGCTTCCCTTGCTTCCTTCAAGTCTCAGATAAAATGCCACTTTCTTCAAGAAGCCTTTGTCTGTCTCCCTCAATGTTAGTGACTTCCCTTTGAAATTATCTCCAATTTACCCTTTTATGTCTGGTATATACATATGATGTCTCCACCATTAGAATTGAAGCTCATTGTGGCCAAGAACTGTTTTTACCTTTCTTTGCACCCTTGGGAATAATGCCTGTCTCAAAGCAAATTCTTGATAAATCTTGTCCATTTGACTTGTTATGAACAACTCCCGGTGCTTTAAGAGAAGCTTTTGAAAAGAAAGATAAGCAATGGTCAACAGACTAATGAATAAATACCTTCGGAATGGCTTACATTTCTCTTCCATCTCACTTAAGAACTCTCCCTTTGAAAGCAGCCAGTGGAGACATTTCCTGCTTCCCAACCAACACTATAGCCTGACTATGATTTAACCATACTCTGAGACAGGACCTTCTTATGAACAGAAATGACTTCTTTGATTAACTGAGTGAGCTTTAACTGGAGCTAGGTGAAATGGAGAAAACGAGTTTGTGAAAATGGGAATGGGAGAAGATGGAGGGGGTCCCAACAATCATTCTAGTGAAAGAGGTCTGATTTGCCGGAAATGGAACTTGACTCTCAGCCTGGGGTAGATCACTGAACAACTAAGTTGTCTGTCGTACTACACTATGATGTCTTTTACCTTTTCTCTCTTCCCACTCACAAATCACTTTGGACTAAGGAAATGGGATTCTTCCCATTTTACTGACAAGGAAAATGAAGCCCAGAAGGGTAATGTTATTTATCCTAAGGCCCCATCCACTATGGTTCCCCAGAGGGAGATTGGGCAATATTCCTTTGGGATGAAAAATGTGAGTTGACTCCAGGAAGTTTCAGTTTCATTTGTTCATTGATGAGGAAATCAGCCTTTAAACTTGATGAGCCCTGATGAAAGCTTTCGTTTGCCCCCTATGACCTGTGGAGCATGCACTGAGAAAATATTTAATTTGTTAGGTTGCTTTGGACAGAAAATGTTTGTTTACTTATGAATCCTCCATTTTCTTGCACTATGCTTTGTACACAGCAGGCATTTGGTAAGTGTTTGTTAAATTGAATTGAATTTTACAGGTATTTGTGCCATAGCAAGGACTTTTCACAATGAAGAGCTACCTTAAAGCAAAATGAGTAGTGGAGAGTCAGTCTCTGAGTAAGAAAGACCTGGTTCAAATTCTGCTTCTGACACCAACTGTGTGACCCTGTCAAGTCACAACCTCTTGGTGCCCCAGGCAACTTTTAAAGACAATAATCAGGGGCAGTTAGGTGACACAGTGAATGGAGCACCAGCCCAGGATTCAGGAGGACCTGAGTTCAAATCTGGCCTCAGACACATAACACTTACTAGCTGTGTGACCCTGGGCAAGTCACTTAACCCCATTGCCTAGACCCCAAAAAAAAAGGCAATAATCAGAGTAGGGAGCCTACAGATATTCTCTTGTAGAGTTAGTTTCCACCTCTCCTCCCCCCACCATAGGGCTAATATATCAATGAAAGCACAAACCTATTACTAAAAGAAAACAAAACAATTGGTCTTTGTCACGAATGCTATTTCTTTGTAGAGAAGTTTATAGATTTGCACATTTTTCCTTCTTGATATTTGTTTGACTTCTCCATGCAGGAATATCATTCTAACCCAGGAAAGTGCCATGAAGGAACAAGCCAGGTGGCATATTTGCCAAATAATAAAGAAGGACGGCGAGTTTTGAGTCTCCTCCAAAGAGCTTTTGACCAAAAGTTGATTTTCACAATAAGACAGTCTCAGACATTAGAAATGAAGGATGTGATCACTTGGAATGATATACACCATAAAACTCAACCATTTGGTGGACCAGAAAAGTAAGGAATATTTCCCTTTTTTTAAATTTTAAGATTTATTGATTCTCTTTATTTTTACATGATATTCACTTACCCTACCTCCTCTGTCACCAAGCAAACATTCTCTTGAAGAAAAATTTCAAAAAACATTAAACTTTAGCAAGTTAAATCTACACATTGACCAGATCTGATAGCATATCCAACATTTTGGGCTCAAATCACCCCCCAATCTCTCTAGAAAATGGAAATAGGTACATTTTTCATCTCTTCTTTAGATTTTGCTTGATCAATTTATTATAATTAATTAATGTAAATTATACAGAAATTGACAGAAAACTCACTTTAATGTTTTTTTCTGTTTTTATTGTTGCAGTTGTGTATATTCTTTTCATATTCTGCTTATTTTAATCTGCAACTCTTCATAAACATACCCCTATATTTCTCTGAATTCCTCACATATGCTTTTTTCTCATAGAGTAATAATATTTCATTCCAGTTGGAGACATTTCCTTTTGAATTCTACTGGTTTCTAAAGCAAATACAGAAATTGTGAAACTTACCAGGTTAATGGTCTGGGATAGAAACTTTTTTTTTTAACCACAGTGGGATTAGAATTGTAGTGTCTTCCTGAGACAAAAGTAAAATCTCAGAGAGTTCTTTCAGAGATAATTACAATAAAACAATGATTTCATACATTATAGAATCGGACAAAGTGTCACTTATTTCTCCGAAAGACTGCTGTGACCAGACGCAAAGAGTAGTATTAAATGGGTCCATTTTACTTAGTGGCATGTCATAGGGATGTGTTCCTGGTTCTGTCCTCTTTAATATTTTTACCAATGAATGGGATATAGGAATAGAAGACATGGTTATCAGATTTTCAGATGACACAAAACTTAGAGAGATAATTAATATGTGGGATGACAATAGCTGCATGGAACAGTGGCACTAGCTTTGGAGTCAGGGTATCTGGCTTTGTATCCTACCCCTATCAATTACTATCTGGGTTTCCTTGGGGAAGGCACTTAAGCTCTCTAGGCCTTACTTTTCTCTCTTGTAAATTGAAGGAATTGGACTAGATGCCTTCCCAGGTTTCTTTCAGCTCTTCATCTATGACCCTTTAGTAGGATCCCAAATCTTATGGAAGGCCTAGAGGCTTGGGCCAAATATTTATAAAGGTGAAATTTAGTAGAGAAAAATGTAGTCCTAATATGGGTTCCAAAAAATCAACTTCAGAATTATGAGATGAAATGAATGACTAGAAAAAGCTACACAGTGACTTACATAGAAAGGTGTTTTGTGTGACTACACATGTATAACCTATGTCAAATTGCTGCTTTCTCAGTAGGGGTAGGGAAAATAGGGAGGGAGAGGATTCCGGACTCAAATTTTGAAAAAAAGAATGTCAAATTATTTTACACGCACTTGAGAAAAAATAAAATATTTTAAAAAGTGAAAAAAAAGATATGCAAGCCCAATATTGGTCAGTAACGAAATATTATAGTCAAGAAATCTAATACAGTCTTACACTATATTAACAGAGACATAGTGTCCAAGACAAAAAAGACAAGGATGGCTATATAGTGACCTCTTCAAACTACTTCTGGTGTATTGTCTTTAATTCTGGGTACATCATTTCTGGAAGGACATGGATAAGATATAGCGCATCCAAGGAGAGCAATGAGGTTGATCAAAAGGCTTCAGGTTGCTGACATATGTGGATCACATGAAAGAAAAAGAGATTCTTGACCTAAAGAAAAGAGGCTGTGGGGAGGAAGGATGAGATAGCTGTCTTCAGGTGTTTGAAGGATTATCATTTAAAGAGGGAGTTTCTGATGCTCAAAATCTTTATCCCTTTGCAGCTTTGGTTACCCCAATCCCAACTATCTGGAACGAGTCAAGCTGGAACTGAAGGCAAAAGGGATTGAGTAAGAGTGCTGGCTTGCAAAAGCTGCAGCTGTGGAAAGGAATCCAAGCAATCATTAAAATATATGTGTATAGGCACCATTTAGAGACAAAGAAAAGAATATGAGAAGAAATCAGATTGTTTAGGGGCGAGTGGGATGAACTGCTATCTGCTAACCTTAATTTCTTAGAGATTTTATTTTTTATTAGACAAACTGAAAGCCTGGTAGAAATGTAAACGTTGCTCTAGTAAGAACCCAGTGTATCTCTTGGTGCTTTCCTGCTTTTCTCCACTTTGCTGTCACCAGGGATACTGGAGTTAAGAAATCTTCCATTGTACCACTTGCACAAGGTGCTGACTGCCCTTCAGGTGCACTCACGTTGTTTGTGGTAATTTGTTGGTGGCCTCAAATGCACTGGGGCTAGCTCCCTTTTAACTGGAATGGTTGCCGGGAACATTAAAAGATGGGAAGATACTTTGAAGAAATTTATAGTCTCCAAATACTTGTGTGAGTCCTTCCTTTGAGAAAGAAACTATCCGTCTATGGGGCTCTAGCAAATTTAACGCAAATTGAAGAGTGGGGAAAGATATTTCTCTCTTCACTAAAGTCCAGTGACTTCCAATCACTTTTAGGAACAAATCTAAAGGCCTCTGTTTGGCATTCAAAACCCTTCATGCCCTTGGCCTTCACTTTACTTCCCTACTATATCTTCTGTGATTCAATAATACTGACTTCCTTGATGTGCCTTGCACAAAGAAACTCCATCTCACCTGATCATACATTTTCACCAGATAAGTCCCCCATGCCTGCAGTTCTTGCCTTCTCATTTCCACCTACTGGCTTCCCTAATTTCTTTCTAGTCCTACCTAAAATCCCACTTTCTACATGAAGCCTTTCCCCAATCTCCTTACTACTAGTGCCTTTCCTCTGTGGATTATCTCCAATTTATCCTGCACGTAGCTTGTTCGTACATAGCGTTTGCATAGTTCTTCCCCATTAGACTATTAGCTAATTGAGAGCAGAGAATATCTTTTGCCTTCTTTTGTATCCCCAGCACTTAGCACAGTGCCTATCACATAGTAGGCACTTAATAAATACTTGCTGACTGACTGACTATGGGCAGGCTCATTGACTTGGGAATCAGAGTGTCCAGATTAATAGGCAACTGGCATTGGCTTGTGTGCTGTCCTGGTTCTCTTCATTCTTAGCTCACCTTTTGGGGTGCACCTTGTGGCAATTGCTCTGTTTTTTTCTAGCTTAGTGAGAATACATTCATACCCACATATTTTCTGACTTTTAACCTCCACAACATTTTCTGCTCAATTTGCCATTCTTCTAGGTGCCCCCTGAAAAGTATAGTTGTAGAGCAATGGATAATATGCCCGTTCCTTTCTGAATGAACCCACCTCTTCTATTTGCTACACAGAAATATCCATTAGGATCTTAAATACTGGATCCTGTGGCATTGCTTGGAGAATGAAACAGAACCTATGATACAGAGGGGTTCCTTTCCCAGTTACAAAGAGATTATTGGTGATAATGCATGTTATGCCAGGGAAGAAGGTTAATGATCTTTAGTTGGTTCTTCTCTAAACAATTAACTCATTTGGATCTGCTTCTATGCTTATGTTAGGGGAGGCATGATTTAATGGCTGTGTCAGATGCTTCTAATAAAGTAAAAACTGTGTGATGATCAGACTGGAATCTTGTTTTTCAAATAAGAATTGTTTTCATTTATTATATTTCTATCCCCAGTCACTCTTAAGACCTGTGATGGAGATGGCAAAAGAGAGTAAAGCCATTGATTAGGGACCTCTTTTACCACACCAACGATCATTCCCACTGACCATCCAGTTCCCCATTGTTGTTGGGGTTTTTTGCTTTTATTTCTTTTTTCTTCCCCAAGTTACATGTCAAAAAAAATTTTAACATTCATTTTTACAAGATTTTGAATTCCAAATGTTTCTCCTTCCCTGTCTTCTCCCCTTTTCTGAAAATGGTAGGCAGTTTGATATAGTTTATACATGTGCTATCATGTAAAAAATATTTCTATTTTAGTCACAGTTGTAAAAGAATAAACAAATAAAAAGAGAAAAAAACTCAAGAAAGAATAAATGAGTGAAAAAAATTATGCTTTGATCTGCATTCAGAGTCTATCAGCACTTTATCTGGATATGGAAAGCATTTTCCTTGGTGAGACCTTTGTACTTGTCTTGGATCATTGTGTAGCTGAGAAGAGTTGAATCATTCATAGTTGATTATCACACAATGTTGCTGACACTATGCACAATGTCTTCCTGGTTCTGCTCATTTCATTTTGCACCAGTTCCTACAAGTCTTTCTAGGATTTTCTGAAGTCTACCTATTCACCATTTCTTATTGCACATTAGTATTACATTGCATTCACATACCACAGCTTTTTCAGCCACTCCCCAACTGATGGGCATCCCTTCAGTTTCCAAAATTTTGTTACTAAGAATAGGGCTGCTATAAATATTTTTGCACATATAAATCCTTTTCCCTTTTTTATTGTCTTTTTGGAATACAGATCTCATAGTGGTATTGATGCATCAAAGGGTACACACAGTTTGGATGCCCTTTGAGCACATTTCCAAATAACTCTCCAAAATGGTTAGATCAGTTCACAACTCCACCACCAGTACATAAGTGTCCCAATTTTACCATTTCTTCTCCAACATTTATCATTTTTCTTTTTTGTCACATTACCCAAACTGATAGGTGTGAGGAGATATCTCAGAGTTGTTTTAACTTAAATTTCTCTAATCAAAAATTAGATCATTCTTCCTATGCCTATAAAATAGCTTTGATTTCTTCATCTGAAAACTGCCTGTTCATATCCTTTGACCATTTATTAATTGTGGAATGGCTTGTATTCTTAATATATTTGACAGAGTTTTCTATATATTTGAGAAATGAAGCCTGTATAAGAGACACTTGGTGCAAAGATTGTTTCCCAGCTTTCTGCTTTCTGTCTAACCTTTGTTGCATTGGTTTTGTTTGTACAAAAGCTTTTTATTTTAATATAATCAAAATGATCTATTTTACATTTTGTAATGTTCTTTCCCTCATGTTTAGTCATGAATCCTTCACCTCTCCATAAATCTGACAGGTAGGCTATTCCTTACTCTTCTGATTGGCTTAAGCTGTCACCCTTTATGTCTAAATTATGTACCCATTTTGACTCTGTCTTGTTATAGGATATGAGGTGTTGATCTATACCTAGTTTGTGTCTGATTGTTTTCCAGTTTTCTCTTTTTGATTATAGATTTCAGGTAGTCCAATGATTCTGACATTGTCTCTCCTGGATCTATTTTCCAGGTCAGTTGTTTTTCCCATGAGGTATTTTACATTTCCTTCTAGTTTTTCATTGTTTTGGTGTTGTTCAATTCTTGTTGTCTTATAGAGTCATTAGATTCTACCTGCTCAATTCTTACTTGTAAGGTGTTTTCCTTAATTGGCTTTTGTGCTTTCTTTTCCATTTGGTGAATTATACTCTTTAAAGAGTTGTTTTCTTCAGCAGACTTTTGTATCTCCTTTTCCATTTGGCCAATTCTACTTTTTAAGCAGTTTTCCAAGCTATTGATTCTTTTTTTCATAGTTCTTTTGCATCACTTTCATTCCGTTTCCCAATTTTTCTTCTATCTCTCTTATGTGATTTTTAAGCTCCTTTTTGAGCTTTTCCCTAAGTCCTTTCTGGACTTGAGACCATTTCCCATTTTAGTTTGGGGTTTTGCCTATAGGTGTTTTGACACTGTTGTCCTCTTCTGAGTTTGTGTCTTGGTCTTCCCTGTGACCATAATAACATTCTATGGTCAGATTCTTTTCTTTTTGTCGTTGTTGTTTTTTGCTCATCTTTTTGTTTCCCCTTCTCCCTTTCTTTTGAAAGGATAGAAGGCGCTCTGTCTCAGGCTTCTTTTTTCCTATGGCTGCAGGCAATGTCTGTTTATCTGGTGCTGCACTGATGTTGCTCCAGGGAGCAGGGATTTCTTGCATTTCCCCAGGGTTATACTGAAGTACATGGAGATCTGGCTGCTGGAGGATTCCTGTTGGTTCTGGGCAGTGCCAAAACAGCTAGATGTCAGGACTATTCCCTTCACATATTGGAGGATGCCTTGTTGTTCTTTTCAAAAATCAATTCTGATTGGCATTTCCTTTGTCACAGGGTTAGCAAACTTCTTCCTCTCCAAATTCCTAGGGTGGGGTCACCATTTGTCAAAATGAAAACCTGTTTCCTGTGCTTTTTTTGTAGTCTTATCTCCATCTCACTAAATTCTACCTGTAACTGTTCCCTGTCAATCACCATGCTCCTCTTCAGCTGTGTCTTCTGGAATCCTCATTTTACGATCATCAGGCGCCTTTTTGTTCAAAAATCTCTGTCTCTACATTCTTTTTTATATTCTGGAACTCCCAGAGCTCTGGGATTCACCTTATCTCTGGCAACTCTTTCCAATATTGGTTGACTCTTCATTCCTGGTCAGCCAGGATGAGGAGTTGGCATACCCCTTGCTGCTTCATGATGCTTCTAGATCTCTCTGCACTCAGTAACTTTCTTATATTCAACCCTGTCCAGATTGCTGTTGTTGCCATTTGCTGGCCTACTGCTTACCAATCTTTCCTTTATTTTTATTGATTTCATTTATATTAATAATACCTTCATTTCTGAATATATCCCTCTCTCCTCTACTTCCCAGTCAATGATAACCTGTATCAATTAAAAAAGAAAGAAGGAATAAAACAAATGTAACCAACACATCAACAGAGTCTGAGAGTATGTATTGTGTTCCATACTCTGAAAAGAAGGGAAGGAACTATACTTTCTCAACATTTCTTTAAGAAGAACCAAAAAAACACTAGTAACAGTATTCTATTATATAGGCTGAAGTCTGCCAGAACCAGTTACTAAATTTACCATTAATCTATATCCAAGCCATCATGATTGGAAGAGGTAGACGTTGGAACTGGCATAGGCCTGTACAAATTCAGCTGCTTGTGCTGAGTCATTCTGAATGACTCCATTTTACACTTTACATTTTCAGTGGTGACTTAGAGGATAGAACAGTGGGTCTAGAGTCAGAAGACCTGAATTCAAATCCAGCTGCAGATACTTACTAACTGTGTCACCCTGGGCAAATCACTTAATGCACTGGAGAAGGAAATGGCAAACCATTCCAGTGACTTTGCCAAGAAAACCTCATGGATGGTATGCTCCGCAGGATCATGAAGAGGACTGGATGACAGAACAGAACGACAACAACAACATAGCAGATCTCCTCCATAGATGGCAAATGATTGCTCCCTAACAATCACTCCTCTTAATTATGAGGCACACTGAATGACTTTTAACCTCCACAAAATTTTCTGCTCAATTTGCCATTATTCTTGGTGCCCCCTCAAATGTGTAGTTGTAGAACAACAGATAAAATGCCCATTCATCTCCAAATGAGTCCACTGTTTCTAAAATACTTAGGGAGGAGATGAGGTAGCACTAACCCCATCTCCTCTTTGAAATGTTTACCTAGCAGGATTGTCTTTTCCTAATACGGAAACAGTTTAATCCTGTTTATTAAAACAGCTCATGGTTTGTATTCCCCACCTTATTCTATGCTGCTGCCTTCATTACCTACAGTAAACTCCCTTTTGTTTTAATTTTCCTGAGTTTATCTTATTAATCAGGGAAAGGCTCAAACTAAGATTTCTATTAACAGTCCCCTATGTGGGATGAGGGAAAATAGGTACATTAATGAAATCTTGGTAGAGTAGCAAACTGGTCCAGCCATTCTGGAGAACGATATAGAACTATACCCAAAGGCCTATAAAACTACGCATACCCTTTGACCCAGAAAAAAAAAGGACCCATATGTGCAAACATTTATAGCAGCACTTTTTGTGATGGTAAAGACTTGGAAATTGAGGGGATGCTTATCAGTTGGGGAATGGCTGATCAAATTGTTGCTTAGGATTGTGTTGGGGTACTATTGAACTATAAGAAATTATGAGGGGGTAATTTCAAAAAAAGTCACAAGACTTTTATGAACTGATGAAAAGCGAAGTGGAAAGAACCTGGATATCACTGTGTACAGTAACAGCAATGTTGTAATGATGATCAGCTGTGAAAGACTTGGCTCCTCTGATCAATACAGTGACCAAAGACAATTGAGAAGAATTCATAATAAAAAAAAAAAGCTATCTACCTCCAGAGAGAGAACTGAAAATTTTTGAATGCAAATTAAAATATAATTTACTTTCTTGCTTTTTTATTTGTTTTGCAATATGACTAATATGGTTGATATATTATTTGTCTTCTCAATAGGAGGGAAGAGGTGGAAGGGTGGGAGAGAATCTGGAACTCAATTAAAAAGAAAAGAATGCTTAAAATAAACTTTATTTGTGTGTACGTGTGCATATATACATATATATGTATGTGTGTGTATGTATGTATGTATGCATATTTAAATAATCCCTTATGCCCCCTATTGTAACTCTGCCCCAAGGTGATTTTAGGTAGCACTTTCAGGAATTTGGAACAAGTAAAGAGTCATAATATGTTAAAACACAGCAGCATTCAAGAACAGTCACCACTTAGTTCCTCCTGAATCACTTCCCCCTAAGAGTTACTTCTTGTGATCATTGTGATCATTATCTGTGATACTGTAGTCTTCATGTTGTTTGATGCTATAGTTATAATGATAGGATTCCAATATGGAGTCACTTACGCTAAGTTGTCACAAAGCCTACAAAACACACAGGCAAAGACAGACAAGGTGGTAGTTTTCCACTGTTCTAAACTATGTTAAACCTGTTTCAAGCTGTTAACACTTGAATCTTCTATTAGATAAAAACTTCTGACTTACTGCAGCACTCTTGGTGTCATTTCCCTTCCACTGCTTCATATAATCAAATCAAACTCTTTCCTAATTTCTAGTCCTAATAAACAAACTCTCCTTATCCAAGCCTCATCCAAGCCCATTATTGTTAAGTGACCCTGAGAACCCCTATAAAACATCTGAGTCTTATTAGGAATGTCCCCTCCCACATCTGGCACTGATTGCCCGTTTTCCATTAAGCCTATTTTTAGGGTATATACCTTCACTTATCTGAACCCACACTTTTAGCATATTCTCTCTGTAATATGTCTCCTTCTCCTTTCCATGGGGTGAGTTTTTTGTATCCATAAGGATGAACCTCTTTATATTGTAATATATGTTTATGTAATATGTTTAGGCTTTTTTATTTTCCTGCTTGCTGTGCCCTGTAATAATAAAGTTCTTGTTTCTATCAATTTCCTGAGTACCAATTTCCTGCAAATTCCCAAGTCCAGATCTTTGAGTGAACACTAGCCATGAGGCTAAATAAAGCATTATCTTGAATTTTGAAGGAGAAAACACTGCCTCTAAGTAGATCATGGCACCAATCACTCCAAATGAATGGGAAGTCACTGACTTTATCAAGACCACAGTTAAGTTTGATTGTCTCCCTTGTTCCATTTTTTAAAAGTATATAAACTTTTTTATTCTTTTTTAATAAGTTAAAAATTTTGTCCTTCCTCCTCCCCCATACAATGAGAAGGAAAGAAAAACAAAACCCACTACAAATATGTAGAGTCATGCAAAAAAAGTTTTCACCTTAGGAGAGAGACAGAAACAAGGGTAGAGACGGAGAGATGGACAGAGAGAGATACTTCAATCTGCATTCTCCATCTATTGATTCTCTATCTGGAAATGCATAGCATGTTTCATTAGGAGTCCTTTGGAATTGTGGCAGATCACTGTGCTGATCAGAATTAGCTGTCTTTCAAAGTTAACAATATAACACCTGAACAATATTGCTATTACTGTGTGAATTGTTCTCTTGAATCTGTTCATTTAACTTTGTATCAGTTCATTCAAGTCTTTCCAGGTTTTTCTGAAACCATTCCCTTCACTGTTTCTTAGAGCACAAGAAGTATTCCATCACATTCATATGCCATAATTTGTTTAGCCATTTCCTAGTTGATAGGCTTCCCCACAGTTTCCAATTCTTTGCCACCACAAAAAGAGCTGCTGTAAATATTTTTGTACACATGGGCCCTTCTTCTTCCTTTGATCTCTTTGGGATATAGACCTCATAGTAGTATCACTGGGTCAAAATGTATGTATAGTTTAATAACTTTGGGGGCATAATTTCAAATTGCTTTCTAGAATAGCCATACCAATTTTAAGCCCCATCAGCATTGAATTAATGTGCCTCTTTTCCCATATCCTCTCCCACATCTGTCATTTTCCTTTTTTCCCTCCTTACCCAATCGGAGGGCTATGAAGTGATACCTTGGAGTTGTTTTAATTTGCATTTCTGTAATAGCGATTTAGAGAATTTTTCACATGGCTATTGATAGTTTAGGTTTTTTCCTCTGAAAATTATCTACTCATGTTCTTTGACCATTTAGCAATTGGAGAATGACTCATTGCAAATTTGACTCAGTTTCTTTTATATCTTAGAAATTGGACCTTTTCCAGAGAAACTTGCTGTGAAGATTTTTACTCAGTTTCCTGCTTCTTATTTTAGCCAAATTGGTTTTGTTTGTGTAAAAGTTTTTTTAAATTTTATGTAATCAAAATTGTCCATTATACCTTCCTTAAAACCTTCTATCTCTTGTTTGGCCACAAACTTTTCCACTTATACCCTTACTGCATTTCAAAGGAAAGTCTCTGCTTTTGTTTTTGATCTTTTCCTAAAGTGAAAAGTTGGAGGGGGGGGAGATTTAGGCTAGAGAAGTAGCATTTTGTAATCTTTCCAGGGAAACAAAAATTGTAGTTTGTAAATTTGCTTTCTCATGTAGAAAGAGTGACTCACATTTTTGAGAATGCAAGATGGCTGAAGACTTGTCACCATGCGGCTCTTTCTAGGTCTGCTGCCTGCTGGGTGCTCTACTGAACTACACTAGTCCATACTGAGTTTGTGTTAATGGCTGCTTCTGTAGTCTACCTTAAGCTGTTCCTAGGCTAGCTGCTATCCAGGTGACTTTTAATGTTGTAGTACTCTACTTGTCTTATGGTTCCTCTGGTGGTCCTATTTCACCCCTGATGGTCCCATTGATCCAGTAAATTTTTTGAGTTTTAACTGTGTGATGTTCTGGTAGCTGCTTGGCAAGTAGCCTCTAGTGAGCATTTCTCTCTGCTGCTAACTTCTGCTATTATCTCTTCAGATACTCAAGTCTTCCCAGTTCAGACAGCTAGGCATAGTGGCTAGAAACTCTCCCTGAACAGGATAGGCTATACATAGATGTGTATACATATACATGGCGCACATGTGATGCATGCATAACACAGTATACACATGTATCTGTGTGTATACATATTTATGTGCATATATGTATATATGAACCAACTTGGAAAACACATCAGAGAGAGAAAATGTAAAAATTATTGGATTACATGAAAGCTGGTGGTATATCGGTCAGAGCAGTGGGTCTAGAGTCAGTTCAAATATTGCCTCAAATACTTACTCCTCTGGGCAAGTCACTTAACCTCTGTTGGACTCAATTTCTTCATCTCTGAAATGGGAATAATAAAAGCAACTACCTACCAGAGATATAAGAATCAATTGACATAGTACCTGTAGGTGTTTTGTAAACCTTAAAGCACTGTATAAATGCTAGATATTATTTTTAACAGCCTTTTCTAAGGATTGGTGAATATACTCTTTTCCTCTTGACCAGATGAGAGTGAAAAGTAGCATTAGTTTGCATTTACTCTTGCAGATATGCACCCTTCTCCTTACCCACCCCATACCAAAATATATTCAGGCCCAGGATACAGAATAATTGTTGTATAGTAGTTGTTCAGTTATGTCCCACTCATTGTCAGACCCCCATTTGGGGTTCTCTTGGCAAAGATAGTGGAGTAGTTTGTCATTTCTTCTCTTTCTTATTTTACTGATGAGGAAACTGAGGCAAACCAGGTTAAGTGATTTGCCCAGGGTCATACAGTTATTAAGTGTCTGAAGCCAGATTTTAATTTCCTGGTTCCAGTCTAGGCACAGCTGTCCACTGTGCCACCTACCTGTCCCGTTGGGGAGTAGAAAGAGGCCTAAATCCTGGAGTGTGCTGCTAGAAAACTACAACAAACTTTTTAAGTTTACCTGCATTATTAACATTTTCTCCATTGCTTTGCTAAGTAACCAACTTAGGAAAAAAAGTTCTGTTTTGTAATGTTTGCCAATTTTTATACTCACTGGAAATTCAAGTCAGCTCTCTGGACCATTCTGGTTGTCTCCAGTACGTTACTGGTTCTAGCTAAAAGCAGACATCCTGGGTTTGAATCCTGACTGTGCTCCTTACTCCTTTTCAGACCTTGAATGAGTCACTTAGCCTATAGAGGATTCAGTTTTCTCCTTTGTAAATTAGGGTGTTGGACTAGATCAGGGTTTCTTAACCTTTTTTCTTTCATGGAACTCTGTTAAACAGACTGTTAAAACCTATGGACCCCTTCTCAGAATAAGGTTTTTACATACATAAAATAAAATACAAAGGATTACAGAGGAAGCCAATTATGTTGAAATAGTTAACAAAAATATATATTTTTCAAAAAACCAAGCTTAGACCCCAGGGAAATTTATCCACGAAATTGCAGTCTCTAGACACCAGATTAAGAATTCTTACATTAGATGGCCTTGAAATTCGCTTCCAATTTTTAAATTTAAGCTAGATGTTATGAACCGCGGGGTTTTGAAATGAGAGGTGATCTGGCTACCGTTAACTGACGTCATTCGACGGGTAACTATTTCTTAGCTGATAAAGAATTCAGAATACACCTGGATGTCTTTTGAAAAAGTGAGAAAAAATAAATAGGTGCTTTTCCTCTCTTCAAGTTTTCTGGAAATGTTACAGCCCAAAATCTGACACCCCAAAAATGAAATGGGAGCTAATATAAATTCCCAAGCCCCCTCCCTGTCGCCCCAGTTTAGAGAGCTAGAAGCCCCAAGTAGAGCTGGGGGCTGAGTATGGTCCAAGCGGAACAGTCTTCTTCTCTGCCTCCACCCCAACCCCTCCCCGCTCCCCGAGGCTAGGAATAGGGAAGGCTTTTCGGGGAAGCGAAACTGAAAGTTTGAAGGTTACCTCTGAAGAGGGGTGGGGATAGAGAGCTGACAGTACCATTTCCCTTTCTCTCGGCTTCCCAGTTACCCCTCCAGCGCCCACCGAACAAACGCCGCAGCCCCGGCTCCTCGGCTAACGAGTCAAGAACCTGCTCATATGTCCACTGGAAACTCTGCCCGGTGCCCGCCGTACCGGGTACTGGTCCGTGTGTCCGAGAACTGCAATGGACTCGAGAAGAAGCTGCAAATATATTTCCAGAGCCCGAAGAAGTCCGGGGGAAGCGAATGCACAGTCAAAGCCGGCCCCATCGAAGGCACTTTCTGGGTAGAGTTTTTGGAAAGAGAAGGTGAGAAGGAAGGGGCTGGGGGAGTCGCTGGAGAGACACCAGCTTGGGAGGAAAGGCGGCGACTGGGAGACGGGGTGACCTGGGAGAGGGCACCAAAGTGAAGTCCAGCCTGAGCCAGGAGAAAGGGCACTGAGAAACAGGGCTTGCATTAATATTAATCATCATCATAATAATAATAACAACGATAGCTTGCATTTCATATAAAGCCTACTACGTGTCGGCCACTGTGCTAAACTTACAAATATTACCTCATTTAATTCTCACGAGAACCCTGTGAGGTAGGTGCTATTATTGTCCGCATTTTACAATTAAGGAAATTGAGACAGACAGAGATTAAGTGACTTGCTCAGGAAGACTCAGTAAGTATCTTAGGCTGGATTTGCACTCAAGTCTTCCTGACTCCAGGCCTAAAGCTCTAACCACTATGTCACCTAAGAAAGGCAGAAACTGACTGGTTTCTCTCCCCCCATTCCTTCCCACGTCATTCCCTCCCACTTTGCCAAAGTCTATACTGTGCTGCTGGAGCAGAGTAAGGCAACTTTCTGTCATTACAAGGGCAGCAAAGGCTTTAGGACTGGAAAGGACATTTAGCCCAGCCCTCTCGTTTTAAAGATGAGAAAACCGAGGTCCCAAAAAGTAGTTAACTAGGTGGCAGAGTGGATAGAACTTTGGACCTACAAATTAGGAAGGCCTGATCAAAAGAAAACTCTGGACAGTAATTTCAAGACATCACAAATGAAAACTACCCAAAAGTATTAGAATGAGAGAGAAAAGTGAAGACAGAAAAAACTCACCTCTAACAACAAGGGAAAAGTCAGAGGAAGGATAGAACCCAAATCCTGAACTCCCACATTAAGTATCCATAAAGCAGCAGATCAAATACCAAAGGATTACAGTCAGGATCACACTGGATCTGGAAGATTCTACCATAAATGAGAACTCTTAGACTGCAATATTTCAAAAGGCATAAGAGACAGACTTTGCAACCAAAACTAATTTACCCTCAAAAACTGAGTATAATTCTACACAGGAAAAAATGGATCTTTAATCAAAAAGAAAACTTTCAAGCATTTCTGATGAAAGGACCAGAGCTGAGTAGAATCTTTGAAATACAAACAGAAGAGTTCAGAGAAACTTGGGTAAATTGATTTGAACAATTGGAAGGAGGTTTAGGATGATACAGTGCTAATATTCTAATGGGGAAGAAACAAGTGCCTTTTCAGAAGCTTAATGCCTTGGAAGAGTATTGAGGGAGATAAGTAAGAAAAATAGAGGCTCTAAATGTAGATTGATTCCATTCTGAATGTTCTGATAGAAGAAAGAGAAGAAAGAATAAAAGGAATAGACTAGTATAGAAAGTAAGAAGGGAATGGAACTTATTTTTTCCAAAACAAACTTTCTGATCATGAATGTGAAAGGAATAAAAGATGGAAAAAAGAAGAGCAAAGAACTTGAATCTAAGGGAATGCCCATCAATTGAGCAATGACAAAACAAATTATGCCATATGAATAAAATGGAATATAAATTGTATTGTAAGAAATGATGAAAGAGATGATTTCAAAGAATCTGAGAAGAGACTGATGAAGAAGGAACTAAGTAGAATGAGAACACATTATACAAGCATGATAACAGTATAAAGAAAAAGTACTTTGAAAGACTTAAGAACCCTGATTTATGCAATGATCAGCCATGTCCCCAAAGGACACGTAGTGAAGATACTACTTGCCTTCTGACAGAGAGGTGACACTTTCAAGGTGCAGAAAGAGATATACATTTTTGGATATGGCCACTCAGTGGATTAATTTTACTTGATAATGCCTTTTCCAAGAAATTTTGTTTCCTTTCTGTTGGTTTTTTAGTGGGATTGGGGTTAAGAATTATGGTTTAAAAAAAAAAGCAAAGCTGCCTTGTAACAATTGTTAATTCCACAGAAATGAATGGAAGGAAGTTCAGAAGGTAGCAGAGACAATAAGTAGGACAATTTTGAAAGTAATGAGTGGAATTAAATATATACTTAAAAATAAAAGATATGAAACATAGCCTCCGTTTCATGCATACTCCTCTCTTTTTTGCCTTGTGTATAGGGAAATGAAGTGGTTTGGGTACTTAATTTCAAAATAAATTTTTTTTAAGAAAGTATTGAAATTCATGAGATGAATTGAAATAAGGCTAGACTTATCATGTCCTCTGGGTCCTCTCTAACAGCACATAAAAAAGAGTTGGCTGGGATGAAGGAGCGCTGTTGAATGTTGAAGGGACAGCTAGGCTGCCCAGTGCACAGAGCACTGGACTTGGAATCAGGAAGACATCTTTAGAAGTTCCAATCTGGCCTCAGACACTGACTAGCTGTGTAACTCTGGGCAAGTCACTTAACCATATTTGCCTTAATTCCTCACCTGTAAAATGAGCTGAAGAAGGAAATGGGAGATCTCTTCAGTATCTTTGCTACAAAACCCCCAAATGGGGTCATGAAGTTTCAGATAGGAATAAATAACAGTGAGTGTTGAACCAGGAGAAAGTTAACCCCTAAGGAAGAAATACATGGGGGAAATAGGAGGCCTGGACTTTGGCCTTGGCCTAGGTCATCTTCCATTCACCCTCACTGCTCCTTGGCCAGTGGAAGGCCTTTGAAGGGACAGAAGGATCTTGGTTTTCCTATCTTTCTACTGGTGTGCTAGAGGAATCTATTCTTGAATTAATCTGCATTGGGAACCAAAGACAAATTGGACATAGATTCCTGGCTTTACAAGAGATGCCAGCAGAGAGACTACATCAGGCCTAAGGGGGTGCTTCTTGAGCATCTGATGGTGCTCAAGGACTTCCAGTAACCAAAATCTATGAGTTAGAGTTACCCCCCCCCCGCCTCACATGCTGTTTTAAGCTTGTACGCATTTCCCCTGGACTCTTCATGTAATTGTGGGAGAGTGGGTCACATCCTTCTAGGGTTGTGGGAAGGATATTTTGTACCAGATATTCCTACTGTGCCACTGTAGTAAGTACCTCTTAAGTCTGACTAAATGTAATGATTCTCAGTGGATCATCTTATGGGAAAAGACACAGGTGAAGGCCATGGACTGATAGCATTAAGATATACCCCCAACTCCTCCTCAGCAGTATCCCTAGAACCGGGAAAGGGAAGATGCAGCCTTCCTCTGGGACCTGGGACTCATTAGTGATGGAGGGAGTTTGGATAAGGATCGTCAAAGCTTACATGGAATATCTATGTGTGTCTGGAACAATCTCACCTATTGATAAAAATAAAAAAGAAAAATGAAAAACAAAAATGGTCTCCAGGGAGGGATTGCTAGTCCTTTGGAAAAGGATGATAGATTTCTACTTCCAGCAAAACTGTTTATTTGTTCTGTGGCATTCCTAACAGTGAAACAATTTTGTTAAATTTTATGAAATACTGACTTGGTGGTAAATAAAGTAAGACACTTACTACATAGCCCCTGCCTCCCCATCAGAATTAATTTACTCAACTAATCCTATGTAAACTGTTTTATTCAAATCTCATCCCAGTTTGCGTTTGTATCAAAAAGAATCCAGAAAAGGTTTCTGTTAGAAGCAGCTTGTCACATTGAAAAGAGTGTTGGCTTTGGCATCTAATGGCTCTGCCACTTACTGTGCCCCTTAGGTAAGGCACTGGACCTCAGTTTCCTCCTCTGTAAAGTGAGTGAATTGGACTAGATGATCTCCAATGTGTCTTGCAGCCTTAAATCTATAATTTTATGGAGGGCATACAAGGTTCCACCTTTGCTCTCTACTTTCTTATACCTCTTTCATGGGAGATAAAAACATAGTCTAAGAGTATTAACCCCAAATGTGCCCTTTGTATGGCCTCTTTTGACCCATCCTGAAAGTTAAAGCCTCTATGTCTTTTTCATACCCACGGTATCTTGAATTCTATTCCCTTATCTCTTCCAAAGACATATCCTATAACCTGTTCTTCTCTTGTAATTACTTCCTATTGCAGGGCAAATTAAATATTCTCTTCTAGAGCTTCTCTGTAGAACCCTGCATCTCCCTTGTCACTGCCTTCCTGCATTCCAAGATTCAGACAGACACTAAGACCAAGATCGGTTTGGGGCAGGGGGAACAGAGCACAGATCCCTGCCAGCTCTGAAAGTCTAATCCCATGTTTGAGGGAGTCTTTGGTTTTCTAGTAAATTCTCATATTAAATTTTGAAGGAAGCTTGTTCTGAAGCTTTATCATGTATCTTTCATTTTTCTGTTTCTCTAAGCCAAGGAAAGAGTGATAGCAAAGAGAGACCACACCTTGGAGGTTGGTACTACATCACCTGTGAAAGTCTTCCTAGAAGCAAATGAAACCTCAGAAGAGAAGAACACTTTGGAGATAAGCCAGCTTTCCTCCCAGACTCAGTCACTCCCAAAGGAATTTCTAGATGAGAAGCATCCAGAAGAAGGAGGTGCTCCTGGCTCCTCTGATTCCTTCATTCAAAAGGTGAGAGGGAAGGGAAGAGGGTGATCAAAGAGGCCTTTCCCATTCACCATGCCTAGAAATGTCCTTCCGTCTTTATACTGACATTCATATTATAAGAAATTTGTGTTAACTTACATAATTTACACAAATTTCTCTCCTTTTCCTTCCCTGCCCTGTCCTTTGTCCTCTCCTCTCCTCTTCCCCAACTTCCTCCTCCCAATCTAGTAAGCATGCATATTTTAGGTTGTAGGTTCTCAGAAGTGGGAGATAAGAGTGAAATAATAACAATGTGAACTTTTGGATGCATCTGTCATTTTGCTGAACTATTTCCCCCCATTTGTCATAAGGGATTACTGTCTAACTAGGGCAGAAGGGAGGGAGATATTGGGAAATCAAATGATGTAAAACAAAAAAGTTACCACTAAATTTATTTTCAGTTTAAAAAAAAAGGTTGTAGCTACGAAAAGGGCATGGTCACAGGGCTTGGGTTCAAATCCTGCCCCTAGCATCTGCTACCTCTGTGACCTTACCTTATCTGTCCCCCAGTTTTATCACCTATAGAATGAGAGAGCCGGGCTAGATAACCTGCAAGGTGTTTTCCTGTTCTGAATTTGTGATCTTATGATCTTGTATAATACCTGTAGGTATTGCAGCAGGGTGCTTTCTGTCATGATAAACCTGCAAAGCTTCCAGTGATCACTATATACTCTTCCTTACCACCTGTATGCCCGCATACATGTCATAATGAATCTCAGTCGTGCCAAATGAACTGTAACCTGGAAGTAAAGAAGTCTGGTAAGAGGTTGTCATTGCTCCATCTGGCTGATTCCCTTTCATGATACCATAGAAAATCTGGCATACATAAGGCACACAGTATTCTAAATCTTAGAATTTTTCTAGCTGTAGTGAATGGCATATAGATCTTGGTGTCAGTTCAATGGTCAAGAGTTGGCTTCAAGAGTCAAAGCCTGGCTCAGGTACTTACTGGCCGTGAGACCTCATAATAGCCAGTATTTAGGTAGCAGTTTGAGGTTTGCAAAGCCCTTCATGTGTTATCTCATTTTATCTTCAGGACAACACTGTGAGGTTGGTATTCTTATTACTCCCAGTTTACAGGTGAGAAAAATGAGGCCAAGGGAGATTGAGAGGTTTGTTCAGGATCATACAGTTAAGTATCTGAGGCTGAATTTGGACTCAGGTCTTTCTGCCCCCAATTCCTGTATTCTAGTCACTATGCCTCAGTTTCTTCAACTATAAAACGGGGACAATAATAGCACCTAGTCCACTGGGTTGCTGTGAGTGACAAATGAGATAACATGTAAAGTGTCTTGCAAACATTAAAGTGCTAGATAAATGCTAGCATCATCATCATCATCATCATCATCATCATCATCATCATCATCATCATCATCATCATTTCTCAGATGAAAGGACCAAGGTTTAGAGAATGGAAGTGAGGCACGTAGCTGGTTGGTAGCAGAACCTAGCCTAGTGCTTAGCCTCCTGATTCTTGGACCATTGTGCTCTCCACTACCAACACCCTTACCACTTTACCCAATCTCCATGTCTCATATGCTGTGCATTATTGTTAGTATAGCTATCAATGTAAGATGTAAGCAGAACCCACGATGAACCACAAAGTCAAGTTGGAGTCAATGGTAGTAGTTGTTAAGGCTCTAATTCTATAATATCTAAGTGTCTTAAAAAGAGCAGAACCTTTAATAGCCGTGTGATTTTATTTCGTCTTTGTAAATTTCAGATATTTCTTCGTGTGGAGGCCTACTTGGACTTCAACCTTTCCAAAGAACAAAGGGAGAAAATTATTAACCTCTGCCCAAATCTCAAAATAGAAGGAGGCTGTGATGGATTAGAAAAAATCATTGGCGACTACCATGACATTATAAAAAGTCATCAATTCTTAAGTGAGGGATGTTGGAAAATGACAAAAAGGAAGATTTTCCCCACTGCACCTCAGCAACAGGAGTCAAGAAAATCATGCCAAATGACTGGGACAGTCGTATTCTTCACTCAAACCCAACACGCAGAACAGAAGAGGCAGACTTATCTCAGTTCCTTCACATTTGTATGAATATTTTAAATATTTCTTTGCTGAAACTTTGAACAGAATAGAAAAAGAGCACAAAGTACATATCAAAAGTACTTTGGCATATCATGCTGGCAATGTCGGTTTAAATTTTGAGACAAGTAATCCTAGGGACAGAAAAGCAGCTCAAGAAGCTTTTACCACAGCATTTCAGAGGGAAATACAGAATGTGACCTCTCAGGAAGTTCATTTCACAGATGATAAGCTGGCACTTGAAGTCCAGAGAACACTGACCAATGTGTTTAAAAACCTCCATGTGAGAGCAGAAGGAAAAGTCTTGATTCTCCAGGGAGACCCCAAGGTTATTTTAGAAGCTAAAGGTTTCATTGCAGCAAACTTCTCCCACAAACAGCCTGTGAAAATAATGGTTTCCCAAAACATGATGAAGAATGGAATTGAGGTCAATACTGCTCAGTTGGATCTTCTGCACCAAGAAATCACGAAATAGAGAAAAAATATGACACTGCAGCAGCAATGGCGAACAACCCCCAAACTGGGAAAACCCTCCTTGTGTTTACACCAAAAGACAACGGCCTAGACCTCTCTGCACACGCTTATCAATATTTTATTGATGTTTTTCAGATGTACTCACAGCAGATTGTCAAAGAGGAGGTTATCTTAAAACCATTAGACCAAAAGAGAAAGTTTTGGTCTGAAAAGACATTCTTTGAAGACTTTGAAACAAAGCACCAACATGTAAACTTGAAGTGGAATGAAGGAGAATTGACATTGACTGGTTTTTTCAAGTATCTTGCAGAGGCAGTGAAATATGCAAAGAGATATTTTAGTATTGAAGGTCCTGCTCAGCAGAGACCACCTTTCTCCCTTGGAGAGAATTGGAATGAAGACCCCAAATCCACTTTGGACAAAAATAGTCATAATTTCAAGGTGACTTTACCTTTGTCCGAGGGATTGCCTACCTGTGGGGTTTTAGAAGAAGAGAAGGATGAAGGAAAGGAGGAGTGTGTCATCTGTATGAACATTATTCACCACAAAGTAGTCCTCCCAAAGTGCAAGCATGAATTCTGTGACACTTGTATCAAAGAGGCCATGAAACATAAGCCAGTGTGTCCTGTATGCCAGACTTCCTATGGTATCGTGAAAGGGAATCAGCCAGAAGGAAGAATGTCTTGCCTTTACCGTACTTATTCACTTCCTGGTTATACTTCATGTGGCACTATTGAGATTCATTATGACATGAGTGGAGGCATACAGACGGTAAGGAAGATTTTGTGCTGATTGTTTAGAAGCTTTGTGCAAGTTTATCATGGCAAAAGAGAACCCAGCTATGTTTATAAAGGATAAATTTGGCATGGCCTCTCCTTTAGCAATTTTAAGGTATTTCATATATCCAGGTGAAAAATAATACTTAGCATTTCTATTGCACTTTAAGGTTTGCAAACACTTCACCAATAATATCTCATTTGATTCTTATAACAATCATGGGAAGTAGGTGTGACTATGACTATTATCCCCATTTTACAGACAAGGAAAATTAGACAAATAGACATTAAGAGATTTGCCCAGGCTTACACAACTAGTAAGTGTCTGAGGCATGATTTGAGTCCAAGTCTTCTTAACTCCAGGTTCAGCATTTATTCACTGCACCACTTAGCTACCAATCCAGATGCTCAGGAGGTTCACAAATGGTATTTATGTACGTATATACATGCAGAGACATACACCCATACAGACACACATACATAGACACATATAATTTTCAGTACCTAAAACGTGAATTAGCTGTAGAAGTGGTATGACACTGTGGACAGAGAGCCAGCCTTGGAGCCAAGACAACCTGGGTTCAAGCCCAACTCTTATACATACTGGCTGTATGACCCCAGGCAAATCAAATCACTTCTTGGTGCTCTAGGCAACTCTTTAAGATTATAATTTGCAGACACTGTGCCAGCCTGTGTCAGGAGAGGACATTTCCTCCTTGGGCGGTTTTCTGTACCATTGAAATCTGAGACGTGCTCCTATCTGTAGATAAAGAGGTAGATAAATTGGGTGAGTCATTTTTGTAGATACTCTAGGGAGGAAGTATGATATGGCAAGCAGAAATCACTACTCAGATGCAGAAGCCTGGGGCTTGAAACTTTGCACCTTAAGTCTCTAACAGGTCTTCAATCCACTTTTCCCTCATATTTTTTGAAGCTTTGCACTGGATTTCAACATTTTGATAACTAAGGATTTTTGTATCTTTTTAAAAATCTATCTTTCATAGTGTGCTATAAATTAATAGACAACTTTACACAAAATATTTCTGGGATGGACCTTGCTGGTGGCATCAAGACTAGAAGCTGCTTCTCCCTAGTTTTCATCTTCCTGCTTTCCACATTCTTGAAGGTTGCTCAGATCTCCAACTGCCCCTTCCTCAAATAGTGGTTGAGAGGGTAAGGAAAGTAATGACGTGAAAAATCCAACTCTAATGTTCTATTAGGTATAAGTTGGAGTGAAGTCAGGCTTTGAAGTGGAGGTGTGGGGATAGGAATATGTTGAAAAGGGAAGAACAGGTAGGATATGAGATTTCATTTCAACAAATATGAATGAATTAATGAAAAAGTGTTTATTAAGCAATTACTATGTGTCAAGAATTGTGCTAAATACTTTCCTTGCATAATAATAGGACAAGACAAAGACTTTTAACTTATACCCTCCCCTTTTAAGGACAAAGTATAGTATGGGCAAAGAAGGAAAGAAGGTGTCAATTTCCTTCCCAACAGTCTAATGTTTGATTTCCCTATTTCAAGTCTCTTTACTCTAGTCAATTCTCCATCAGCTACCAAATTGATGTTCTTAAAAAGTCTGTCATTTCATCTCCCTACTCAATAAACTCCCAGTAATTCTCAGTTTCCTCTGGGATAAAATCTAAGATCTTCTGTTTGTACTTACAACCTGTCCCTTTTCTACCTTTTGAGTCATCTTTCATTTTGCTCTTCCCCACAAACTTCAATTCAGCAACACTCACCTCCTTGCTATTCCTAGCACGGAACACTCCATCTCTCAACTCCCTGAATTTTCACTGGCTGTCCGCAGTATCTACAATGCTCTCCCTCCTAGTCTCAGCCTCTGGCTTCCCTTGCTTCCTTCAAGTCTCAGATAAAATGCCACTTTCTTCAAGAAGCCTTTGTCTGTCTCCCTCAATGCTAGTGACTTCCCTTTGAAATTATCTCCAATTTACCCTTTTATGTCTGGTATATACATATGATGTCTCCACCATTAGAATTGAAGCTCATTGTGGCCAAGAACTGTTTTTACCTTTCTTTGCACCCTTGGGAATAATGCCTGTCTCAAAGCAAATTCTTGATAAATCTTGTCCATTTGACTTGTTATGAACAACTCCCGGTGCTTTAAGAGAAGCTTTTGAAAAGAAAGATAAGCAATGGTCAACAGACTAATGAATAAATGCCTTTGGAATGGCTTACATTTCTCTTCCATCTCACTTAAGAACTCTCCCTTTGAAAGCAGCCAGTGGAGACATTTCCTGCTTCCCAACCAACACTATAGCCTGACTATGATTAACCATACTCTGAGACAGGACCTTCTTATGAACAGAAATGACTTCTTTGATTAACTGAGTGAGCTTTAACTGGAGCTAGGTGAAATGGAGAAAACGAGTTTGTGAAAATGGGAATGGGAGAAGATGGAAGGGGGTCCCACCAATCAATCTAGTGAAAGAGGTCTGATTTGCCGGAAATGGAACCTGACTCTCAGCCTGGGGTAGATCACTGAACAACTAAGTTGTCTGTTGCACTACACCATGATGTCTCTTACCTTTTTTCTCTTCCCACCTTCACAAATCACTTTGGACTAAGGAAATGGGATCCTCTCCCATTTTACTGACAAGGAAAATGAAGCCCAGAAGGGTAATGTTATTTATCCTAAGGCCCCATCCACTATGGTTCCCCAGAGGGAGATTGGGCAATATTCCAGGAAGTTTCAGTTTCATTTGTTCATTGATGAGGAAATCAGCCTTTAAACTTGATGAGCCCTGATGAAAGCTTTCATTTGTCACCTATGCCCTATGGAGCATGCACTGAGAAAATATTTGGACAGAAAATATTTGTTTATTTATGAATCCTCCATTTTCTTGCACCATGCTTTGTACACAGCAGGCATTTGGTAAGTGTTTGTTAAATTGAATTGAATTTTACAGGTATTTGTGCCATAGCAAGGACTTTTCACAATGAAGAACTACCTTAGAGCAAAATGAGTAGTGGAGAGTCAGTCTCTGAGTAAGAAAGACCTGGTTCAAATCCTGCTTCTGACACCAACTGTGTGACCCTGTCAAGTCACAACCTCTTGGTGGCCTGGGCAACTTTTAAAGACAATAATCAGATCAGGGAGCCTGCAGATCTTGTCTTGTGGAGTTGGTTTCCACCCCTCCCTCACACCTCCATCATTGGGATAATACATTAGTGAAGCTCAAACCTATTACTAGACAAAACAAAACATCATGTCTTTTTCAGAAACAGTATTCCTTTGTAAAGAAGTTTATAGATTTGCACATTTTTTCTTCTTCTTGATGTTTGTTTGACTTCTCCATGCAGGGAGATCATCCCAACCCAGGAAAACGCTATGAAGGAACAAGACGGGTGGCATACTTGCCAAATAATAAAGAAGGAAATCAGGTTTTGAGTCTCCTCCGCAGAGCTTTTGAGCAAAAGTTGATTTTCACAATAGGAGAGTCTCGGACAACAGGACATACAGATGTGATCACATGGAATGATATACACCACAAAACTCAAAGATCTGGTGGCCCGGAAAAGTAAGGAATATTTCCTTTTTTTAAAAAAAAATTAAGATTTATTGATTCTCTTTGTTTTCCAGTGATATTCACATACCCTATGTCCTCTCTCACGAACAAACCTTTTCTTGAACAAAAATTTCAAAGAACCTTAAATTTCAGGAAGTCCAACCTACAACATTGACCAGATCTGATAGCGTATCCAACATGCCCTGCTCAAATCACCCCTCAATCTCTCCAGAAAATAGAAATAGGTATATTTCTCACTTCTTCTTTGGATTTTGCTTGTCAGTTAATTATAATTAATTAATTAATTTAATTAATTATACTGCAAATTATACAAAAATGTGTAAGGAAAATTCACTTTCATTTTATTGATTTTTTTCCTATTTCCCTTTTTGTAATCATTTTGTATATTCTTTTCATATTCTGCTTACTATAGTCTGCAACACTTCCTACACATACTCCCGTATTTCTCTGAATTCCTCACATGTCCTTTTTTCTCATGGGGTAATAATACTTCATTCCAGTTGGAGACATTTCCTTTCGCATTCCACTGGTTTCTAAAGCAAATGTAGAAATCACAGCACTTGTCAGGATAGTGGTCTGTGGTCGAAACCATATTTACCTCAGTAGGATTGGGGACTGTAGCAAGTTCTTTTCAGAGACAAAAGTACAATCTCAGAGAGATCTTTCAGATACAAGTACAATAAAAACAATGATTTCATACATTATAGAATCAGAGAAAGTGTCACTTATTTCTTTGAAAGACCACTGTGACCAGAGGAAAACCGTCACATTCAATAGGTCCATGTTCCTATGGAAGGAGATGCATTTGTGGCATGTCGTGGGGATGTCTCCCTGGTTCTGTCCTCTTTAATATTTTTTGCCAAGGAATGGGATAAAGGAATAAAAGACACAGTTACCAGATTTTCAGATGACACAAAGCTCAGAGATATAATTAATATGTGAGATGACAATGGCAGCATGGAACAGCTTTGGAGTCAGGGGATTTGGCTTCATATCCTACCTCTATCAATTGCTCCCTCTGTTTCCTTGGGCAAGTCACTTATGCTCCCTAGGCTTTAGTTTCCTCTGTTGTAAATTGAAAAGAATGGACTAGATGTCTTACAAAGTCTTTTTCAGCTCTTCATTTGTAACCCTATAATAGGATCCCAAATCCTATCCAAGATTGGGTCAAATATTTGTAAAGGTGAAATTCAGTAGGCATAAATGTAGTCTTAATTTGGTTCCAAAAAAATCAACTTCAGAAGTACAAGATGAGATGACATATGCCTAGAAAAAGATATGAAATGACTTAAATGAAAATGTGTTTTGTGTGATTACAGATGTATAACCTATGTCAAATTGTTTGCCTTCTCAATGGGGTTGGGAAGGGGAGGGAGGAAGAAAATTCAGAACTCAAAATTTGAAAAGAACAATTTAAAAACTTTTTATGTATGCTTGGGAAGAATCAAAATATTAAATTAAGTAAAAGAAAAGCTATACAAGACCAATATCAGTCCGTAATGAAATATTGTAGCCAGGAAATCTAGTATAGTCTTAGACTGCCTACATAAGAGAGGCATAGTGTCCAAGACAAAAGAGACAAGAGTGGCTATATGGTGACATCTTCAGACTATTTCTGGTGTATTGCCTTAACTCTGGGTACCTCACTTTTGGAAGTACATGGATAATCTATAGGGCATCCAAGAAGGGCAGTGAGGTTGATTAAGAGCCTTCAGGTTGTTGCCATATGTGGATCATTTGAAAGAAAAAGAGATTCTTGACCTAAAGAAATGAGGGTTTGGGGAGGAAGGATGAGATAGCTGTCTTCAGGTATCTGAAGGATTATCATTTAAAGAGGGAGTTTCTGATGCTCAAAATCTTTACCCCTTTGCAGCTTTGGTTACCCTGATCCCAACTATCTGGAACGAGTCAAGCTGGAACTGAAGGCAAAAGGGATTGAGTAAGAGCGCTGGCTTCAAGGATGCCTTGAGAGCTGGGCTTGCAAAAGCTGCAGCTGTGGAAAGGAATCTACGCAATCATTAAAATATGTGTGTATAAGCACCATTTAGAGAAAAAGAAAAGAATTTGAGAAGAAATCAGTGTGTTTAGGGGCGAGAGGGGATGAACTGCTATCTGCTAACCTGTCTAATTTCTTAGAGATTTTATTTTTTATTAGATAAGCTGAAAGCCTGGTAGAAATGTAAACGTTGCTCTAGTAAGAACCCAGTGTATCTCTTGGTGCTTTCCTGCTTTTCTCCATTTTGCTGTCACCAGGGATACTGGAGTTAGGGAATCTTCCATTGTACCACTTGCACAAGGTGCTGACTGCCCTTCAGGTGCACTCACATTGTCTGTGGTAAGCTGTTCATGGCCTTAAACTCACTGGAGCTAGCTCCCTTTTAACTGGAATGGTTGCCAGGAAGACACTTTAAAGATTAAAAGATTGAAAGACACTGAAGAAATTTATGGTCTCCAAACACGTGTATGAGTCCTTCACTTCAGAAGGAAACTATCCATCCATGGGGCTCTGGCAAATTTTATGCAAATTGAGGAGTGGGGAAAGATATTTCTCTCTTCACTAAAGTCCAGTGACTTCCAATCACTTTCAGGAACATATGTAAAGACCTCTGTTTGGCATTCAAGACCCTTCATACCCTTGGTCCTCGCTTTACTTCCCTACTATGTCCTCTGTGATTCAGTGATACTACTGGCTTCCTTGATGTTCTTTACAAAAAAACTCCATCTCACCTGATTGTGCATTTTCACCAGATATCCCCCCCATGCCTGCGGTTCTTTCCCTTCTCATTTCCACCTACAAGCTTCCCTGTCTTCTTTAAATTCCTACCTAAAATCCCACTTTCTACATGAAGCCTTTCCCCAATCCCCTTACTACTAGTGCCTTTCCTCTGTGGATTATCTCCAATTTATCCTGCACGTAGCTTTTTTGTACATAGTGTTTGCATACTTCTTCCCCATTAGACTATTAGCTAATTGAGAGCAGAGAATATCTTTTGCCTTCTTTTGTACCCCAGCACTTAGCACAGTGCCTATCACATAGTAGGCACTTAATAAATACTTGCTGACTGACTGACTACAGGCAGGCTTGTTGACTTGGGAATCAGAGTGTCCAGATTAATAGGCAACTGGTATTGACTGGTGTGCTGTCCTGGTTCTCTGCATTCCCAGCTCACCTTTTTAGGGTGCACCTTGTAGCAATTGCTCTGTTTATCTACTTAGATGTGAGGAATCTGCAGCCTAGAGACCACATGTAGCCTTCTAGGTCCTTGCATATGGCCTTTTGACTAAGTCCAGGTTTTACAGAACAAATCCTTTTATTAAGGGGATTTGTTCTGTGAAGTTTGGATTCAGTCAAAGGGCTGCACTTGAGGACCTAGAGAGCCACATGTGGCCTCAAGGCCACAGGTTCCTCACCCCTGACTAGCTTTAGTGAGACCACAGTCATACCCAAATATTTTCTGGCTTTTAACCTTCACAATTTTCCATTTTTCTGCTCAATTTTCCATTATTCTCATGCTTCCTCAAAAGTGTAGTTGTAGAGCAATGGATAACCTGCTCATTCATCTCTGAATGAGTACAACTTTTCTATTTGCTACAAAAACAAAGCAAAAATATCCATTAGGAGCTTAAATACTGGATCCTCCAAGCATTGCTTGGAGAATGAAAGAGAACCTATGGTGCAGAGGCGTTCCCTTTTCAGTTACAAAGAGATTATAGGTGATAACGCATATTGCTCCAGGGAAGAAGGTTAATGATCTTTAGTTGGTTCTTCCTTAAATAATTAACTCATTCGGATCTGGTTCTATGCTTGTGTTAGGGGAGACATGATTTAATGGCTGTATCACATGCTTCTAATAAAGTAAAAACTGTAATAATCAGACTGGTGTCTTGTTTTTCAAATAGGGATTGGTTTTATTTATTGTATTTGTATCCCCAGTCACTCTAAAGACCCGTGATGGAGAAGGCAAAAGAGAGCAAAGCTGCTGATTAGGGACCTCTTACCATACCAATCATCATTTTCACTGACCTGTCTTTTAAAATCAATTCTGGGGGATACAGAAGTGTTAAGATTAATTGGAATGGGAGGATAAGGGAGGGATCCTTGGGAGAATTGGGGAGGGATCTTTAGAGGGGAGAGTGAGGGAATAGGTCAAAGGGGAATATAAAAGGATGTTTAGATTTATGGGAATGGAGGATAAAGGAGGGATCATTGGAAGTGGGAGTAGGTTAAGTAATAGGATGGCTAGGTAGTGAGTAGAAGTAAAGTAGAGGAGTGGGGAGGGTTAGGAAATGAAGAGATACCCACAAACATAAAAACAAAGATTAGGAGTAGAATCTGTTACAGAATGTATGTATATGTATGTATGCATATGTAACTTGTGTGTGTGTGTGTGTGTGTATATATACATCATATATATATTATATATATACATATATACATATATATATATATATATATATATATATATATGATTATACATGTCTATATGTAACCACACTTAATTGTATCCAGGGATGGGAGAAATGGGGAAAAAAGAACAAAGTAAAAAGTGCACAGCAGAGAACAAAAGAAAACCCACAAGGAAGCAAAGAAAAGATGGACAGCTCTCAATACATGTAGTATTTAATATATAGGCATTCTTGAAATAGAAATTTATTGCTATATATTTTGAATCCTCTCATGTTCTGCTGTGCATATGACTTTTTTCTTTCCTTATTTTATATTTAAATTTATAATGTTTCTTTTTCTTTTCTTATTACACATTTAAGTTTTAATTAAAAAAAGAAAAAAGAAAATAAATTCTGATTGATTGGCATTTCCTCTGCCCAAGGGTCAGCAAACTTCTGTCTGTCCAGATTCCTAGGATGGTGTCACCATTTGTCAAAATGAAAACCTCTTTCCTATGCTTTTTTATAGTCTCATCTCAAACTCATTCAATTTTACCTATAACTGTTCCCTGTCACCCTGGATACTCCTCTTCAGCTGTGTCCTTTAGAACCCCCATTTTATGATTTTCAGATTCCTATTTGTCCAAAAATCTCTGTATCTACATTCTTTTTTATATTCTGGAAATCCCAGAGCTCTGGGATTCACCTTATCTCTGGCAACTCTTTCCAATATTGGTTGCCTCTTCATTCCTGGTCAGCCAGGATGAGGAGTTGGCATACTCCTTGCTGCTTCATGATGCTTCTAGATCCTCTCTGCACTCAGTAACTTTCCTGTATTTAACCCTGTCCAGATTGCTGTTGTTGCCATTTGCTGGCCTCCTTCATTTTTATTGATTTCATTTATATTAATAATACCTTCATTTCTGAATATATCCCTCTCTCCTCTACTTCCCAGTCAGTGATAGCCCATATCAGTAGAAAAAGGAAGAAGGAAAAAAGGACGTCAGCAAAAGTAGCCAACACATAACTGAGATGGAGAGTATGTATTGTATTCCACACCTAAAGTCTGAAAAGAAGGGAAGGAATTGTACTTTCTCAATTTTTCTTTAAGAATAACAAAAACTGGGGGGCACCTAGGTGGTACCATAGATTCAGGAGGACCTGAGTTCAAATCCATCCTCAGACACATAACACTTACTAGCTGTGTGACCCTGCGCAAGTCACTTAACCCCATTGCCTAGCCAAAAAAAAAAATCTACTAATAACTGTATTCTACTACATGGATTCAAGTCTGCCAGAACCACTGTTACTGAATTTATTATTAATCTATATTCAATCCATTATATCTAGGAGAGAGAGAAGATTGAACTGGCATAGGCCTGTACAAAGTCAGTTATTTGTGCTGAGTCAGCAACAGTGATTCCATTTAGAACTTTAAACTTTGAGCGGTGGCTTAGTGGATAGAGCACTGGGCCTAGAGGAAGATCTGAGTTCAAATATGGCTACAGACACTAGCTGGGTGACCCTGGGCAAATCACTTAACCTCCATTTGCCTTAATCCACTGGAGAAGGAAATGGCAAACCACTCCAGTGACTTTGCCAAGAAAACCCCATGGACAGTTGTCCACAGAGTTATGAAGAGTCAGACAGGACTGAACAACATGGCAGACGGCAGATGTGCATGCTCCCTAATCCTCTCTCCCCATAACTATATGAACCAATCAAAATACTTAGGGAGCAGATGAGGCAAACTAGCCCCATCTCCTCATCAAAATGTATGCCTATCAAGATTATCTTTTCCTTATATGGAAATTGTTTAATCCTATATATCAAAGCACTTTACAGTCTGAATTCTCTATCATATTCTATGCTGCTGCCTTTATTACCTACAATAAATTCCTTTTGTCTTGATTTCCCTGTTTGTCTCAAACAAAGATTTCTATTAACAGTCTCCTATGTGGGATGAGGGAAAATAGGTACATTAATGAATTCTCGGTGGAGTACTGAACTGTTCCAGCCGTTCTGGAGAACAATCTGAAACTATACCCAATAGGCTATAAAACTATGCATACCCTTTGATCCACCAATACCACTGTATTCCAAAGAGATAAAAAAAAGGGAAAAGGACTTATTTGTACTAACATATTTATAGCAGCTCTCTTCACAATGGCAAAGACTTGGAACCTGATGCTCATCAATTGGGAATGGCTGAATAAGTTGTGGCATAGGATTGTGATGGGGTACTGCTGTAATGTAAAAAATGATGAAGTGAGTAGTTTCAGAAAAACAGCACCAGACTTTTATGAATTGATGCAAAGTGAAGTGAGAAGAACCTGGAGATCACTATGTACAGCAACAGCAATGTTGTAATGATGATCAGCCATGACAGACTTGGCTCATGATAAAAAACAAAACAAAAAAAACAAACAAACAAACAAAAAACCAATGCTATCTACCTCCAGAGAAAGAACTGAAGAACTGAGTACAAATGAAAGTATCATTTTTTTCTCTCCATTTTTTTGCCTTGTTTGGCAATGTGGCTAATATGGAAATAGTTTTTCAAGATTTCACACATACTGTATAGTTGGTATCATATTGTTTGCCTTCTCAATGGGTGGGGGAAAGGTGAGAGAGAATCTGGAACTCAAAATTTAAAAAGAAAAGAATGCTTAAAATAAACTTTATCGTCTCTCATATCTATCATTTACCATTTTTGCCACCTACTCAATATGATGGGTATGAGGTGGTATCTCAGAGTTGTTTTAATTTGCATTTCTCTAATTATTAGTGATTTAGAGAATTTTTCACATGACCATTGATAGTGTAGAGGGTTATTTTCCTCTTAAAAC